CTATTGACTTCTAAAAAGTGCTGTATAACTGCTTGGTGTCGACGCATTCAAAATCTAAGAGCACGTCGGGAACCACCAAAACAAGTTGCGCATGACATCTGCAAATATTCTTGCAGGGATTACGCAACAGGTTAACTTTAGCCCAATGTGCACAGAGATAAGATTTACTGTCAGCAAGGACTGCCGTGACCTTCAAAGCTATAAAAGTCTGACATCTCGTGTCATCTTAATGTTGAGAAAACACATGTCTGTAACTAGAATCGGTTTCCTTTTTTTGTGTGTGTGTCTGTGTGTGTGTCATCACAAACCTGCCACACTCCGACAATAGCGTTGGCAATGAGGATAAGAAGGATGACAAAAGGCTCCACAAAGGCAGTGACAGTCTCCTCACCCTCCTCAAACCAGGCCAGAACCTGAAGTAAAGTGCAGTTAAAAGTTAATCATCACATGAAACTGCTCCATAACAAAAAACAACATGCAGATTTGGTTTTGAGATTTGGTTTTCATGGACAGTTAAACTTGCAGATTTGGTTTTCATGGACAGTTAAACTACTGTTTTGGCCCTTGTAAAATACAAACATCACGTGCAGTGTGTTTTTAGTTGAAGTTGCTTAAATATTTAAAAATTAAAAAATGTTTAATAACCATTTTTTTATCATTATATAATATTAAGGGGGTTAAGGATTTAAGGGTTTGGAAGCGCTAACATCAGAGAGTTTGTTTTGGGGTGTGGGCGTGCTGTAGTTTAATATGAAATACAACAACCTAAAAGCTCTGTTATTATTTGGATTCTTTCCATTGCGCAACGTTTCTTTGGAGTTATCGCGACGTCGTCATTTCTGTGAATTTGATCCCAGTGTAACATAGAATTCCTCCCTCCATCTGACTTAAGCCCTGTTTCAGTGGCGCCCTCTGTTTTTTTTCCTTCAGGCCTGACCTTTCCCCGAAGGATTCAGTTTCTCTCCTCAGCTCGGCCTCGTCTTAAAATAAACCCCTTCCCCTTAGCCCCCCTATGCTACCCTGACCCCCGTCTCTCACTGGCTCCTCAATATTCGCCTTCTAAGGCCATCGTGACAGCTGCCCAAAGGAGTGAAAGCTGGGTGTAGAAATTAATACACCTCAGACAAGTCTTCGCGATCTTCGTCCCTCCTCTCAAGTTGTTGCCCTCTAAATTACACGGGAGATCAGAGACCGAAAGGGAGGTGAAGGGACTTTTGCACAGTGTTCAGACAAAACTGATCAGCGGCAGCGCGTCCGTTCGCGAGATCCATTTCTGTCGTACTCTCACTGCAGTTAATCGCTCGTTTCTAAATGGCCCACAGTGCAAGAAACTTGAGGAGAGTGACAACTAATTCAGTATGAAACCAAGTGATGGAGAAACCCACGAGCTTCAGAGGTTACCGCTGTTTTAATTGTTAAGACAAACGTAACGACTGCAACAACTGATCCCCCCGGGCTGTGACTAAAGGACTTGAGGAGAGTGACTAACTAATTCAGTATGAAACCAAGTGATGAAATGCATGAGACAAAAAGGATTGGGTTTGACATGTGTGGCGCCAATGAGCGGTAATGATATTTAATATTATTATTGACTTACGAAGGAGATGCAGGCAGCGAGCAGCAGGATCCTGACAAGCAGGTCCTCAAACTGCTCAATCACCAGCTCCCAGATGGTCTTACCTGAGAGACAGAAGTTTGAATTAGTGTACCGATTGCTGATGACAAACATGGATCTAAGTTACTAAAACATTCAAGCGCTGGAGGATGGTGTATCCAGGGTGATATAGTCTCATTTCAAGTGTTTAAAAATTTTCAAAATGTGTATGTGCGACACTGGCTGGTGGCTGTGGTACTTTAATGTAAACACTGGGAGACAAAAACTTACCCTCCTCAGCAGGCAGCTCTACACGGAGATCGCAGAAGCAAAGGCGGCGCGAGGGGGAAAAGAGAAAGGTATATTGTAAGGAGATTGTTGGGAGGAAACATTTTCATTTAAATGTTTGCATCAATCAAGCAAGTCCTAAGATGATCTTCTCCAGACTAAGTGGTAAACGTGATCGCCAGAATTTTGTCCAAAAGAGGATCCAGGTGTATCTAGGGTGATATAGTCTCATTTCAAGTGTTTAAAAATTTTCAAAATGTGTATGTGCGACACTGGCTGGTGGCTGTGGTACTTTAATGTAAACACTGGGAGACAAAAACTTACCCTCCTCAGCAGGCAGCTCTACACGGAGATCGCAGAAGCAAAGGCGGCGCGAGGGGGAAAAGAGAAAGGTATATTGTAAGGAGATTGTTGGGAGGAAACATTTTCATTTAAATGTTTGCATCAATCAAGCAAGTCCTAAGATGATCTTCTCCAGACTAAGTGGTAAACGTGATCGCCAGAATTTCCCCAATTTCTAGGACATACATCCCTGAAGGTTTCACCTCGGGGTTCTGCGAAAGTTGACAATTATTTGCAAGCACTTCATAGGGAATTTCGATTGCTCCTTTTCACATAGGTTCAGTCCTGTCCGATACCTTTACTAGACCGTGACACATAACATTTAAATTGATTCATGTTAGAAATCATAAACAACTGCGAAAGTGTGTTGCCTCAAATCTGGGGAAACCTCAGCTTAAAAAAAAAACACCTCCCTTCAGCGAGTTATCGATCAGTGATCATACGCGGGATCATTCAGCTGCGGGATTCATCTAAGGACCTCCTCTTTTTGCCTGGGCTAAAATTATCCACCTCTCCTGTAAACGCCTGCCCCATATATCACCCAGGAAGCTTCTTGAAGCCGTCACCTGTCTCTCTCGCTCTCCAGCCATCTTCTTTGGCTATCTTTAAATAGCTTTTCAAAGCCCTCAAAGTCTCTGCTTCTCTGCGTCTGTTCATTTCTATCAGCTGTTGCAAATGATCTTGAAAAAAAAAAAAGAAAAAAAAAAAAAAAAAAGGCACCACATGCGGAACTGCATCCTACCCAAAACTCAACCGGTATCGGAAGCAACACTCGCGTCCGAGCAACAGCGCTCGCAGTTTGAGTACAAAATACACAAATAATGAAATGTCAGAAGTCAGAATTGGCATTGCCTCTTCAGCAGGCCCCCGCGATCCCCCCCCCCCCCCCCCCCCCCCTGATTCCCCTTCATTCTCACCATTGTAGCCATACTTGTCCAGGTTCTTCTTGAACTGGTCGGGAGTAAGACCAATGTTCTCATTCACTCCGAAGTAGGCCAGGCATTCCGCCGGGCCCTTTGCGTGTGCGTTCTCCATCCTTTGTGGACAGACAAGGGATTAGTCGTCTAACCGTGCCTATCCGTGCCCCTTTTACTTTTCTGTTATTTGCAGGTTTCAACCTTGGTCCACCACCCTCACCTATAAGTGTGGCACCTTCCAATTCAGGAGTGCTGTGCTGACAGAAAGAGCGAATAGGCATATGCACGCGCAAAGTTTTATACCCCCCCAAAGTCTTCAGATTGGTGGACGTACGGATGGCCCACGCCCACAAATTCCATGCATGATGGAGCAGAGAGGGTGGGGCACGAGGGGGAGCAATGGTGAGGTAGACTTGGATAGGAGCTAAGGATTGGATTTGGACAGAAGGTAGTGTAAGAGCAGTGGTGCAGGGGCAAGAGTTGGGGGGGCGGGGAGGGTGGGGGGGGGGGGTTGAACCGTAGATGAAAATGAGATCTGTTTTTGGAACATGCATGGTCAGTGGAATAAGACGAAGGGAGAAGGTGAGAGAGTGAGAGAGGAGAACATCTTTGGGGGGGCATTGAGTGACGGCTCAACTGGTTTCTGCTGAGGAAGGTGGCTGAGCCACGGGGAGACACAGAAGAGGGGAGATGTTAGACCGCTAATTCAGTACAAAGGTTAGCGTGCACTTTGTACAACCACAAAATATGTTGGGACAGGCTGACAAGCTAACATTCGAAGCTGACGAAGAACGAGAAAAAAGTAAAGGTCGCATCCTGACGCATCACCATACGAATCCGCCGTGGAGCAAACATTTCGTAGACAAGATTTAGCTTTAGTCCTGATTCATAGATCAGAGAGAGGGGGGAAAAAAAAGATTGATAGACGAGTAGTGATATTTGAGGGGTGGGAGGGGGAGGAGCTGCAAGACTATACCGAGGTCAGCCAGCATGTCACTATGGGCGCACAGACGAGAAGAAAACTGTAGAAACATGGGGATCAAGTTTTATGTCACCTCTCTATGAGAACTGGAAGGCGATAAGAGATTGGGCTGCGAAGCTGCCGTTCCGCAACGCACTACGACCTGTTGTGGTCAAAGCAGCGAATTTGTTGATGCAACTAAGCAAATAGGATTACTCTGCCAGCAATATCAGATATGTTTTTTTTTCCCACTACAACTTGTCTATGTATGTGACAGTGACACACAATTGATGAAAAAAAAAGACTTTTGGATCCTGGGTTCGATTGGAGAGGAACCACATATCCTTAATGGCACCTCCTCCTCTTGTAAGTCGCTTTGGACAAAAGTGTCTGCTATATGCATAAAAATATAAATTCATATATATATGTATTTTTTTTTTTTTACGGACTCTCAATGGTGTAAAGGGCGAGCACCCACGCTAATGATTTACTATTTGTTTAAAGAGCACTAAAAAGGCACCACCTGACACCGGTTGGGTGGTGCGGTGCCTGCTCCGTAGAAAGGAATTCAAGTTGTTGTTGCTAATCAATACAATGACAGGTGCTACTGTAAGAACAGCTCTGCTCACTGCTCACTTCCACCGACAGCTACAATCTATTTATTACCTGTTGTGTTGGTGTAAACTAATGGTCCACAACCTTTCGTGCCAGGACCAGTGGCAGGGGTGTGTGTCATTTAAATATTACATATATAATGTAACGTATATGTATATATATATAAAGCTTGATTGTTATTAGATTTTATTTATATAGATGAAGGGGCACTAGTTATAGTTTTTCAAAATAAACTACCCAAAAAAAAAAAAAAAAAAATTAAAAAAAAATTTTTTTTTTTTTTTTTGTTTGTTTTTTTGTTTAGCCCGAAGTGATCAATTGCCTAATAATGGTCTCCAACCAGGTGAAGGTGTGTTTACACGTATATGTCAAGCGTCTACACGTACTCAAAGGCTCATTTGTTTTTGTACATATAATTAGATTAATGCCTGAAAAAGTTATTTTCATCGGCTCCCTTCAGGTACTGCCAGAACAGATGATCTGCCTCCATCTTCTCGTATCTCTCGCCTCCTCTACTGTTACTCCGTATTCTCTTACACTGCATCTATGAATCACAGATGAGATTTTTGTCTGCACCTCGGTCTGGCAGCTACGTCTCCAACATCATCCGTCTAGGATATCCACTACATGTCCACTATCTCATCAGCACACACTGAAACTATTCTAACCTTGCCCCTGAAAGTGTATCTCCCAAATTTTCTAACCACACTACAGCCAACCAACTCCAGTCCGTTACGTCTCCAAACCATGTATCATAGCAGGTCTCACTACCTCCCCAAAAAATCCTAGCTTTCAGGAGTGCTTCAGTCCTTCTGTTACACATAAACGCTGACACATTTTGGACAGTTGAACCCACATAATTGCTCTTTTGGTAACTACTCACTATTGCTCAGAGCTGACCTCAACTCTCTGCTAAGAGAAACAATTTTGCCATCAGTTCCATGAAATATTACCTGTACATACACTGACAACATTGTCTCAATTTCTGTTTCCGCATCAAGCTCAAGGGTCAACAACTATATTTGTCAGAGGGCCACAATCTTTCTGGACAGACACCTTGGGTGTCAGACTCTCAAGTAGAATTAGCCTGGTCATGTGAATAGTAGCTACCAAGCTAAAAAAGGTTGGACACCCCTGCCATAAGACAACAATTAGCTTTACTAATCCACGCCACATCATAAAATGACATTTAAGTTCCCTCAATAATTTTCCCATCCATCCATCCATTTTCATCCGCTTATCCGTTACCGGGTCGCAGGGACAGCAGTCTCCATGCACCGTACCAACCCCTTGGTGAGTCCACTGGAAGGTCCTCAATAATTTTGTATCAGATAATTATTCTTAAAGCTCTTGGGAATTTCTTTTAATATATATATATATATATAAACCAGAATTAAGTCAGCAAAAACTTTCCTATAATACCAGTTGATGTTGACAAACAGTCAGATGCTTGTTTGTTGCATGCTGCTTAAATGTTTTTATTTTTTATCAGAGATTGTGTGTTAAACGTCTTACCTTTGTTTACTACTATAGTATATCTCTGTGCTTTCATTGCTCCTGTAACTACCCCGTGTGTGAATATTAAAAGTCTTATCTTCGCTTTTCCTCTTTCCATTTAGTTTAATCATCATGTCTGGGGTACCAGCTGTGCGAATCAGCATTGAATCCTCCTGCGAGAAGCAGGTTCAGGAAGTAGCCCTAGATGGGACAGAGACATATGTCCCCCCCTTGTCATGCTGTTGAACCACTACAAATTTCAATATTTTAATATTATTTTATTTATATAAATTGGTCTTTAAGTCACTCTATGGTGCAGATTATAGTCAATGGAGTAAATATAGTAACGAGCCATTTACAACACCAACCTGCGTCTGCTGCTTGTTGTGGGAATTTCTAAATTTGGAAGTCAGTTTTGTGGCAGCTTTCATGTTTCCAATCAGCTGCTGGTCATCAACTGCCTTGATCCTCTGGTCCCCTAGTGAGTGGCTGGTTTGTCAAGAGGAACGGGCCCTTGGGTTTGACGCAAAGCAGTGTATATCTTACTACATGTACGACATATGCGTGTGTGAATGTGTAGAACGATGAATGAAATCGGAACCCCGCCCAACATAACTGTCACAATAATTGTGTACGCTTTCCACCTCTGTGCCTTTGGTTTCTCTCTTTCTTTGTTCACAGACGTCTGGATAAAACATTTGTACTCATTCAGTAATGTTAGTATCCCCTCATCTCTGTTTCACCCAGTCAGTCTCCCGGCCCTCAGCTGTTGTACAGCCGCTGTGACCTCTGAGATTCGGGGGCTGTGATAGGGGTCAGCCTGTCAGTGTCTCCCTCAGGGCAGAGCAGTGACATTTAACTCAATATCCCAGAAGGATAAGGTTTCTCTCTCATTCCCCCTCTATCTTCCGCCTCTGTCTATCCCCGCTAAGTGTTAGCGGGCTGCGTCTGCAGAGAGACTACTACGGTGCGGTAACACCCTCCTCCCCCCCTCCGGCAAGCTGGGACACCCATTAACTCCTTCTCCCACCACGGCCACTAGCATGCCACACCTTCGTGCCAGGATGAGGAATCACCATGTTCCGCCATAGCTAGTCCCCCCCCCCCCCCCCCCCCCCGCCTCTCTTCACCCCCTCCCCGTTCTGTACTGTAAGTGTTAAGTACTGCGGAGGCGCGGACGAATGCACGGCTATCTTACGCAACTAAGTCTGTCTCTGCTGACTTGCACGGTTGGAGCAAAGTGAGAGGGACATTTGTCACATAAAGATGAGCCAGCCACTTATAGTGAGGTCTAAAGCTCTCACTGACAAGCTGTGTGTCGCAGTTACGGCAGGTACGGTATATGCACTTCATTGTCCAAGGAGGATATGACGAGATACCGCACATGTAAATTTGCACATTATGCCGTTGTGTTTCTCCCAACGTTCTGTCAAATAAACCTGCAATGTCTGGGACTTTTTTTTTTATTATTTCAACTACTTTGTACGAGATTTAATAATTGGAGGTAATTACTGTTTTTTTTTAATGGGTCTCGCATGGTATGGAAAACAATTAAACAGCACTTGAGTTGATGTGTAAGATTTGAATTATATATAGACTATCTTCAGAACAGCATAGCTTTGTGTTAATTATAGCCAGCCAGCCATACTGTCCCCACAGCCATCAATCTGTGATGGATCTTAGCTGTAGCATGTTCGCTGAGGAAGTATTTCCAATTTTAGTGGAAATCCTGAAAGTGTTTGGACCAAGAAGGCGAACGGACATGATCTAAAACAACGTAGCGCAGCTAACACGTGCACCAGAGAATCACACGTATGTTTCAGCGCCAGGTCATCAATTTCTCATGTCTCATGTTGCTTTTATATCACGTGTTGTTTTGATTTTAGACCAGGCATGGGCAAACTAAGGCTCGGGGGCCGGATGCGGCCCGTTCAGCTTTTTAGAATTGATTTTAATTTTAATTTAATTAAGAATTTATTTATACAATCATACTTCTGCCATTTCACTGCAATACCTACATTTCCCCAATAGATGGCGTAGCAAATGATGTGTGTGACTTTTACTTACACGTCATTTATCTTAGTTTGCATTTCCTGACCCGGCCCCCCGGTTCAATTTCAGGACAATTGTGGCCCACGCCTGTTTTAGACCGTAACGTATCATGCACTTTGTACGATTTCTTCTGACAGTATCATAACTACAGTGTCATGACACACTTTATCTGCCAGATTATGAACAAGACAGATTATCATCCAAGTGTCAAAGTGGTCACCGAGCAACTTCATATTCAGTCTAATCACGTTGAACATGTGCGGCAATGACAGTGGGGACATAATTAGTCCGGGTCCGATAAGACAACAGATAAGAAGCGGCAGTGCGAGCGTTAGCTGGATACTTATTACAGTATTAGCTAATAGTAATAATAGAAGGAGCAGCTGAGTCCCTGAATCCCAAATTCCTCACAAGGTATAAATAGAGCAGGTGATACTGTGCTGCTGCGTGTGGCCCAATCACAGCCCTGAGATTTATTTTTATTTTTTTGTACAGTAAAGTTGGATTTTCAGTCTTGTCAGTCTAATGTTGGTCAAAAAAAAGAGTCCTGTATGATTCCAAGGAAAACATGTCACTCAAATGTGTCATTAAGAGTCCTGTATGATTTCAGGGGAAAACATGTCACTCAAATGTGTCATTAGTGTTTACATGAAACACGTACATTACACAAGGATTCCAGATTGTTCACACCATTCCTTACACTCAGGGCTGTACTGAAAGAGCCACAGGGGAGCCGATTGGAAAGTGAGCCTCTTGATCTGAGGGGTTTTTCCTCTTAGTGATGGCAACCAGGCAAAGTACATTATGTATTTCAGCATTTTTACAGGTTCATGTTCTGCAGGGCACATACTTTGTATTTAAAGTACACCAGATGAGTGCACCATGATGCTTTCTTCCCTGGATAAAATGGGATATCTTCAGGATACGGTCGCATGCCTCATGTCCGTTAAAAGGCCGGCCGGTTGAGATTTTGTTTGGTCACAGACAGATACTGTGTCAAGACTTTGGTGGTTATTTAA